GGTGGATGATGATGATGGTTTGGACAATCTCATTTGCGTGAGCCTGGCAGGACACTTGACCCGTGTTTCTAGAACAGGCATCAGTGTAGGGGTGAAGCAAATGGCCAGGTTATAAGGGTTGGTCGTGTTCTCATCACTGCACAGTGAGAGATGACTGAGGAAGGCAAAGAGACACCTCTTCACTATAAGGACCCTAGGCGTCGGGGGCCCAAGCCAGCCTCAGTCTGCCCTGCCCTACCTAGAAACCGGCAGGAGGCAGGACAAGTGGGCTCTGCAGGGCCCCAGAGTGACCACCAGGTGGCAGCCTGGTCCTCAGTAAGGAGGGGCAGTTGGTCTCCACAGACCAGCTCCACCCACTTCCTTGGTAGATGCAGCTCTCAGGCCTCCGCAGCGCGGATGGGAACCCAGGGCTGGAGGAATCGCTCACCAGGTCACCAGCTAGGAGGGCAGGGGTGAGATCGGCTGCAGAACTACGCCTATGGCCAGAGCCTGGGACCTGGAAGAAATGAGGCCCCCAGAACTCCAGGGGAGGGGGTGCAGGACACTCCCTCAGCTTTGCCGTGCCCAGGACGGACCCTGAGCCCTGGGGGGCAGAGGACGCCCAGAGGCCATCTGTTCCCTCAGAAACTCGAATGCACACGTGTGCAGACAGACACAGGGGCCGGGCCAGACACAGACCCAGTTGCTCACCGTTCCGACGTGGGGTCCTGGCAGGCCAGTGGGTGCCGGAGCTCGACGGGGGCCCCGCCGCGCTCCCGGAGCAGCCCCCCACTCTGGCCTGTGTAGTGCTGCACCAGCTCGGCCAGCGTTGCAAACTTCTCCCCTCCATACAGGTCGTAGTAGTCGCCGGTGCTCTGAACCTTGATGTGGGTCACCTCATCGTGGCGCCTGGAAGGGCCGGTGCACCAGCCACCATCGGCAGCCCTGTCCCGCCCACCACCCTCCTTCCCATCGCCACCCTCAGCTTCTAGAACAGTAGCTGGGATTTTCCTGCCCTGAGGTCACAGTCTCTGCCGTCCCCTTGCCAGGAACAGCCATAGCCAAGGCCAGACCCCTCCACTGCAGCTCTGTGTCCAGCCAGTGTCCAGGCCCCACCCTGGGTGGTGGGCACCCCACTCCCACTGCCGTGGGGCAGCCAAGACTGCGCTTGCCAACTCCAGGCCTGACCCTCCCATGGCAGGCTCTGCGTCAGCCAAGACCACCTGTCCACGGGCTCCCGACGATGGGGGACTGGCCCTCAAGACTGCTTCCCCCATGTGTCACAGTGCGGCCTGGGAAGCCCCGGGGAGGAGCACCTGTCTCTCCAGGGTGGGGGATCCATCCTGAGGGCTGACCTCAGTCCCACCTGCTGCCTCAGTGTTAGCAGAAATCTGGAAAAATCTGAGCCCTTTTGGAAGCCCCCCTCCCTAGACCACAGGGTGGACATGGGCCTGGCTGTCCACTCTGCTGGTCGTGGCCCCTCCTGCTCATCCTCCCACACACAATGGACCCTTCATGGGCTCTGGCCAGACCCACAGTGGGCGGCAGTGGGCAACACCCCCAGGAGATGGGAGCACGGAGGCCCCTTAGAGAGCTGGGGAGGGGGTGTCCTGCCGATGCTCCACTCACGGAGCCCTCCCCGAAGGCCTTTCTAAGTGGTTCCCTCCTTCCTGGAGGCCACCTGGCCAGGAATACCATTCGTCCCACAGAACCAAAATCTCATGTGTCTAGCCCCCAGCAGGGGCCCCCACCCCAGGAGGACTGGGGAGCCGGATCCCCAGCTGTGTTCTCAGCTTCGGGTGTGCGGACCCCTTGAGGTCTCCTGGGGTCTCAGGCTGGTTCACACCTGGCTGCAGCGCTCACCCACCTGACTGACAGGGTGAAGCCCCCTGGGCAGCTCTTGCTGGGTCTTGCCAGGAAGCTCCCGTGCTGGCCCCTGGACAGGAGCAGCTTCTCCGCCTCAACTCCGCTGACGCGGGGGTGAAACCACCTGGAATGAGGACGGCAAGCTGGTGCCCCCGAGGGCGGGCGGTGCTGGGCAGTGCCGGCCACACCCACTCTTCGTCCTGGCCTCAGCGGCAGACACCCCCCTATGCCCGTGCTGCCACCCTGCGCTTGCTGCCTCCCTTGGGCTGGTCGCCCGACGGGGGTCTGGACGGCCCACGACGGGGAAGGGAGGGCCGGGGGCCTTGGTGGGGTCTCGAGGGACACGAGGAG